TAGCAGAAATAATATTAAAAATTTGCCATATATAAGACATATTACTCTAGTCTAGCGGTTAATTTTTTATGGATTAGTCTACCTTTATGGTTAAAGATATGCATTGAATTCTAAAAAATTTTAAATTACTTAGAAAAACAAAGAAAGAATACCAACAAAGTACCAATGATTGAAATGCTAAATTCTAAATTACCAGTGTTTCACAAATGAGAAGATTTTTTTTTTCTTTAACACGCACAATTTAAAAAATAAAAATAAAAAATAAGTAAATAAATAACTGCACTAAAAGGTTCAAACTCCATCCCACTAGTGTCTCGCGTAACATTTGCCACCTCATGTGTGTAGCCTGTGTTGTGGGAAAAGATCCAATATACAGAGTAGGAAATGATTTATTTATATAAAAATTTTATATATTAATTTATATAAAATTTTATTTTTATATCACTGTTTACTCATATATGACCTAAAACTATATGGTCCACTGGCCTCATAAATCATAATAAATAATTGGGAGATGATATAGGAAGAATCTTTTTGTACTATTATTTTATATAATTTTTACATGTTATGAAATAAGTGAATATATTTAATATCATAAGTTTCAAATAAATAAAGAGAACTAATTTTTTAAATGACATGTAAAGTTATACTAAAAATAGTAAAAAAATTATCAATCATTTTCTTAAACAATTTGTTAATTACTAATAACACGTTAACGCTACTTCGGTCCATTTTTGCACCTTTTAGTTAGGTAGGAAAAATTGATAAAAAAAAATGCCTAATTACTAATTTTCTTTAATTAAAAGATAGAGATTGTAAATTCAAATACTATGACATACAAGTGGATTGACAGCACTACTGTGTAGCTTTAGCAGCTCCAAAAATTAAAGGTTAAAACTCCATTTTGGTTCCTGAATTATTATATGGACCCCCGATTTAATCCCTAGACTTAAAAAATCTTTGATTTGGTCCCTACTGTTTACCACTTTTACCCCAATTTGGTCTTTCCGTTAATTTTTCATGTTAATTGACAGCCAAATATAGAAGAAACATTACATGTCACACAAAAAATTGCCAAGTTGGCAAAAATAAATGATACGGCCATTCCAACTCATCCCACCCAAAAAAAAAAAAAAATTCGTTCCTCTCTTTCATCTACCCTTTCTTCGACTTCTACAAACCCTAAGATCTTAATCAATCTATAGCATCTCAACCAATTTCTACCCTTACGAGGTTCATCACCATCATCATCATAATCATCATCAAACAATAAAACTCACCAAAAAAACAAAACTTTATTTAAAAATTTTTTGCCCATAGATTTTTTCGAACCCAGCACTTGGGTTCAATCGAACCCAACAGCACCCTTTCTTTCTCCTTCCACTTCCTTACCTTGCCTTCTTCATCAATCATCAATCAACAAAACCCACAAAAAAAAAAGGGTGCTGCTTATTTTTTGCCCCTGGAACCCAATACCTTGGTTTGATGGAACCCAGGTGCGGGTTCGTTCGAACCCACACATTGGGTTCCAAGGAACCCGCGCTTGGGTTCCATCAAA